AAAAGACTTTTCAGCTGAGCTGGCTTGAAAGAGCTCCAGAAGCCAGAGCTTCAGTCTTTAGAGAAGCAGATCTCGTTTGACATTGCTGCAGCTCCAGATAAAAGTCCCTCAATTAAGCTTAAGACTTCAGCCTTCAGGTTCTGGAAATCTGGAAGCCAAATTTAAGAAACCCATCTCTCTTAAGGCTTAAGAGAAAATTCCAGCCTTCAGGTAGGCTTCCTCGAACACCCCAGACCCCCCCCAGGAGCCCCAGAATATGTTTAATTTCACCTCCTCTTTTTTGGTCCACCCTCAAAACCCCACAACCAAAAACAAAATCTGGGGGGGGGGGGGGGGGGGGGTGGTTTTATTAAAGCCACCCGAACATTGGGATTTTTGGGTTTGGGGTTTAGGGCTAGTCAACCAAACGCCGCTCTTAGGGATACTTGGGAATAAGGCTTAATCTTTGGGTACTAGAATCCCGAAGAAACAGCTAACAGAAAAAAATAGGGATACTTGGGAATAAGGCCTAAGCTTTGGGTACCAGAATTCCGAAGAAACAGCTAACAGAAAAAAAAATGTTGCTAGGGTTCCGAGTTCCGTAATTTAGGGCTGAGTGGCGAGGCTAAAGCTTCATGGGTACTTATATAGCAGGGTTTAGGGTTTAGGGTTTAGGGTTTAGGGTTTAGGGTTTAGGGTTTAGGGTTTAGGGTTCAGGGTTTAGGGTTTAGGGTTCAGGGTTTAGGGTTATCAGACTATCAGCAAGGAGGATGTAATCGGTGGTGGCCTTGCTTGGGGTATTATCACTCGCTTATACATACCCGTGAACCTCCGAGTACGCTTTTGGGGTGGTAGGGCTTTTCGGGGTTTAGTGGGGTTTCGGCCAACAGGCGCACTACCCGCTACACGCTCTTCTTCCGCCATTGATGCCCGTGAACGTAAACCCTGCACCCTAAACCCTGAACCCTGAACCCTAAACCCTAAACACAGCAACTCAAGGCCCTCTGAAATGCCCAAAGCCTAAGCTCATGTCCACAAGGCCAGAATCCCAAGCCTCATGCTCCAGAAACCTTATCGCCTAGTCAAACCCCAAACCCCAACCCCCTCAACCCTAAAGCCCTGAACAATACACCCTAAAACCCCCCCTAAGCCCCAGTTGCACGCCCAAAACCCCTAAAAACATAACCCTAAAACCTTAAACCCTAAATCTCTAAGACCCTAAAACCCCAAAGCCCGAAAACCCCAAAGCCCGAAAGCCCTAAAGCCCGAAAACCCTAAAGCCCTAAAACCCTAAACCCTAAAACCCTAAACCCCAAACCCTAAAACCCTAAAACCTAAACCCTAAACCCTGAACCCCCCAAAGCCCGATCGCGGAAGCAGGCTCTGGGCTGCGACTTGTCAGAGGGCAGCCGGCTGGAAGACCTCGTCTGTGCCATGCCTTTAGGGTTTAGGGTTTAGGGTTTAGGGTCTAGGGTCTAGGGTTTAGGGTTTAGGGTTTAGGGCTTACAGGGTTCAGGGTTTAGGGTTCAGGGTTCAGGGTTTAGGGTTCAGGGTTCAGGGTTCAGGGTTCTAGGGTTTAGGGTTTACAGGGTACAGGGTTTAGGGTTTAAGGTTTAGGGGTAGGGTTTCGGGCGCTTACGGGCTTTCAAGACTTAGGCGATGGGATTTAGGGTTGAGGGCGTAGGATCTTGGACGTTGGGTTTGGGGTAGGGCTTGGGACAAGGTCGTTGTCTATATGGTAACTCTTTATCAGAAGGAGCAACCCTGGGTATAGTTTCTCTCAAGAGGGTTTCGGGTACAGTTTAGGGCTTAGGGATCGTCCACAAACTTAAGCCGGGGCCAACCCAGACCCTAAACCCTAAACCCTAAACCCTAAACCCTAAACCCTAGTTTGGGCCAGATTGGGGAAGGGAGTGCTGAAGCTCGGGATGAAAAGCCATGTTACTCCAAGACCCAATCGAGTCATGGACTGCCCCCCCCCCCAGTTGCGTTTGGGGCTTAGGGCTTAGGGCTTGGGGTTTAGGGTTTAGGGTTTAGGGTTTAGGGCTAGGATTGAGGGTTTAGGGTTTGGGGCTTAGGGTTTCGCCCTAGGATTGAGGGTTTAGGGTTTGCCCACAGCGCGGATGTCATTCCCGTCCTGCATGAGGCCAGTACTACCGCGCCGACCTGCAGAGGACCGAAATGCTCAAACCCTAAACCCTAAACCCTAAACCCTAAACCGTAAACCCTAAACCCTATTCCAGCTAGGAAGGCCCCCTGTTCGCCAAGCCCTGAAGACCTGGAAAGATTCTGTGCCAAGCTCCCCCGATGCTCCAAGCCTTCCTCTAGCTCGCTGCTGGTTTAAGGGTTAGGGCTCAGGGAAGTTTAGGGCGCAGTGCGGTTTAGAATTTGAAGGTGGAGTAGGAAGAGGCAGAACAGCGACACTGGCAGCAACAATAAGGGAGTATACATAGCATAAGCGTTCAGAACATCATTAGTAATCGTGAGATCAATGGAAATAGCCACAACCAGCACAAGAGTTCAGAAGCAGCACTGACAACAGCACTCAAAGTCGTCAGAGCAGATGAGTACTACTCAAACAGACCGCATGCCCGCAAGCCAATCGCCTCTCTCGTGGGGGCCCGAATACTTTGCAGTTCCGCCCTCAACCGTAAACCTTACATCCAGATGCAGATCCTGCCTCTAAGGAGCCGGGCTTACAGGAGCCCTTCCTAAGCTTCAATGAGCCCTTCATGCGTCTGAAATCTCCTAAACCCTAAACCCTAAACCCTAAACCCGAAACCCTAAACCCTAAACCCTAAACCCTAAACCTTAAACCCTAAACCCTAAACCCTAAACCCTCAACCCTCAACCCTCAACCCTAAACCCTAAACCCTAAACCTTAAACCTAAACATGAAAGGACCTTGTCCTCCGCCCTCGAGCTGGAGCCGGTCCTTCTCTCCACGCGGCTGCGCGGGGAGGGTGCAAAGGCCGGGCCTTTGAGGGCTTGAGTTTTTTTTTGTGTGTGTGTGTGTACATATATGTATGTTTGCTTTTGTTTTGTGTGTGTGCATGTGTGTGCATGTGTGTGCATGTGTGTGTTTGGTTGTTTTTTGTTGTGTTGTTGGTTGTTTTGGGGTTTTTGTTTGGGTTGTTTTGGTTTTTGTTTGGTTTTTTGGGGGCTGTTTTTTGGGGGTTCAGGGCTTTTAGGGCTTTATGGTTTTTAGGGTATTTGGGGCTTTTTAGGGTTTTTAGGCTTATAGAGGGCTTTTAAGGATTTTCGGATGTCCTGAAAGCTTTTTAGGATTCCGTGCTTCCACGGTTTCTAAGGCTTCGGGGGCCTTTTCGGGTTTTGCAGGGTTCGGGGCTTTGAGGGTGGCTTCTCTTGAAGTCTGAGGCTTCCTGGTTGGGCGTTGTTGCTGTTAAGGTTAGGGTTTAGGGTTTAGGGTTTAGGGTTTAGGGTTTTAGGGTTTTAGGGTTTTAGGGTTTAGGGTTTAGGGTTAGGGTATAGGGTTTGGGGATTTAGGGGTTAGGGTTTTAGGGTGTGGTGTCCTGGTCGAGCCCGTGGATTTGGCGTGTGCTTATGTAGTGCTTTGCATGTGTGCATACATGCAGAAGCTGGGCTTTGGAGTACTATACTTTAATACTTTTTTGGTTTTGGGTTCCCATTATAGCTACTTATACCTAAAAAGTATATACTTTTTTCTTGGGTCTACTCCAGAGGTAGGGAAGTCGTTACTTACCAGACAGAAGAAATTCTAATTCTCGGTTTGTGTCAAGTGATACATTGACGACAAGTACAGGTCGCTCCTAGTGATGGACTTCGCTGCCAGGCGTTTGGGTACATAGCTTTCCTTGCAAGTTACAAAGTATGTTGCGCGCTTCGCTTTCGTGAGTTCAAAATAAACAATCAAGAGTCCTACTTTCCTGTGGTCCAACTCGATTAACCGCATCGCGCGCGCGCACACGCGCGCGCGTGCGTGCGCGTGCGCGTGATCGGCTTCATACGCCACCGCTAGCTTCAACCAGCACAGACACCCTGGCTCGGAGATGATCGGCTCGGGGGGGGAGGGGGGGGAACCCTAAACCCTAAACCCTAAACCCTAAACCCTAAATGGATGGCATAACCGCAGAGAGATCGACGCTCGGGAGCCTTGCGGCTACCAGCAGCGTCGTCTAGTTTTGGGGAGCTGAAGACGCTGAACATGCCCCCCCAAGCTCTGAATCGCAAACCCTGAACCCTGTAAGCCTTCAGCTCCTTAAGCATAAACCCTATAAACCCTACACCCTCAACCCTAAACCCGAAACCCTAAACCCTAAACCCTAAACCCCAAACCTGCACCCTTCTCAATATGGTCCTGCACTCCGCAGCCCGAGGCCGCCCTAACTGTTCCTCTAGTTCCGGAAGGGCAGGTGGTGTGAGGGTTCAGGGTTTAGGGGTTCGAATGAGGTTTATTGGGGTTTAGGCTTTTCGGGTTCAGGGTGTCGGGTTTAGGCACCTATTTGTGTCCGAAAACTCCAAGAAATTGAGCACAGGAGATGGGCGCTCATCTCTTGATCGTGCGGATGCCCGACGTCGCAAAGGGCAGGTGTGCAACAGAGCGGCTCTGCCCAAGTAAATGAAGATTTTCCAAGGTCGCGTCCGGGATTGGAGCTTGTGTTTGAAAGTTTGATGCGCGCACCTTGGGTTCCACAAGCCCTCATCCTCAGAAACAGAAGAGCCCTCAACCCCAACCCCGAACCGGCGAAGACAACACAACCTAAGATACGAGCTCCCTAGGTCCTCCGCTGCCAGTTTCCTGGTTGCGGCGCGACTGGAGGCACGCATTGTATGTGGCCGATGGGATTCCAAGAGCTCAAGCCCTCAGTGTGCAATGCGAGCATACAAAGGTACAAAATGTTTCAGTACGACATATATATATATATGTACTTATTATTGCACAAACCAGTAGAAGAACATATAATGCTTCAAAAACCAATAATGCAACATTACTGACCTCATTTGCGGCGTCTGAGCTTTTGTTCTCGCCTAGCGCCGAGCATGCTCGAATGGGTCAACTCTTGGCAGGGACTGCATGAGCTGCTGATCACAAACTCCCTGTGCCCCATCGAAGCTGAACCCCCCCCAAACCCGAAACCCTAAACCCTAAGGCCTAAAACCTAAACCCCAAACCCTAAACCCTAAACCCTAAACCCGAACCCCCTACACCCACAAAGCCTCCCGCCAGAAGCCGCTTCGTCGCAGGCAGGCGAGCTCCCTGCAGCTGCACCGCCACCGCCGCCCTCGGATCAGGTTCCCATGGTCTACAGGCGGCTTGGGGAGTCGAGGGCTTCAGGGTTTAGGGTTTGGGGTTTAGGGGTTTGGGGTTTAGTGTTTAGGGTTCAGGCTTTAGGGTTGAGGGTTTAGGGTCTTAGGGTTCAGGGTTTAGGGTTTAGGGTTCAGGGTTTGGGGTTTAGGGTTTGGGGCTTTTGGGTTCAGGGTTCAGCACGAGAGGCTTGCGTCTCAGAAGGATAAGTGTGGAACGTTTTCGGCTTTTGAACCGAGGCTTGAAACGCCACTCAAAAAATGCGCCTCAGCAGGGTTGAGCCACGGTTTTAGGGTTTTTAGGGTTTAGGGTTTCAGGGTTTAGGGTTTAGAGCCTTCTGGGATAAGTCGTCTTCAACTTGAGGTTAGCTTGATGACCAGCTTTTTGGTTCATGCAAACTTCCTACAGCTCAACCCTGCTAAGGCTTGGAAGACGTGCGGGAAATTTCTTAAGTGTAAAGCTCTCTCTACATCCATGAGTTGCGCGGCATCGATGCCGGACATGGGAAGAATCATGTGGTCCAGGCTAGGGCATGCAAAATTTTCCAGATCAGGGGAGATAGATTCTGCGTTTTGGATTCAGCCGGCTTCAACCCTAAGAAAAGGTTTTTTTTGGGATTTAGGGTTCGGAGTCGGGATTCCCTAAACCCTGAACCCCAAACCCGACAAAACTCTCCCTCTCTCGCTCTCCTTGCGCCCTTGCCACGCCCAGAAGGCGTGACCAACGATCTAGAAAGAGCTCTAGGGGCCCAGACTAAACCCCCAACCCCCTAAACCAATCAAAGCTTCCGGCTTCCGGGGTTCCAGGCAGCCCGAAACGCTGAGCCCAAATGGAGGGAAAGGGCAAAAGGGTGCCACGGGGCCTGGAACCCCTAAACCCCAAACCCCAAACCCCCAAACCCCAAACCCTAAACCCTAAACCCTAAACTCTAAACCAAAACAGCAGCCCCCGAGGTATCCAAAGGACTCGGAGTGGATCTCGGAGGAGTTCCTAGACACCACCCGCCGTGAGAGCACGATGACCACCGCCACAGGCCGCCTGGAATTGGGTTTTCGGGTTTAGGGTTTATGGGGAAAATCGGCTCAAGGCGTAGGGCTTGAGTTAGGGGTTCCAGGAGTTTAGGGTTCTGGGTTTGAGAACCCTTTTCAGATCCTCTAAGGGAATATCGGCTCCACTTGGGAGTATAAGGGTACATCCTTACGGATGCGAGTCTTAATTCCTTTATTTCAGGTGTTGGGCCAGGGCTGAGGCCCCCATTGCAGGCAAAATCGTAGCCCCTCCAGCTTTCCGAAGATCTCGAACCGAAAGCTCTGCATTCTCCAGCACGCCAGAAGTCCCCAGAATTCGGGGGTTAGGGTTTAGGGTTTAGCGTTTAGGGTTTAGGGTTAAACCCTAAGACCCTCAAACCCCACCCCGCAAACAGATCCATGCACGGCGCTTCCTCAGTCGTTCTCGAGTTCTTGGTAGCCAGTGGTACCCCCTTTTGCCGTTGTTTGGTTCAAGGCTCCCTTCTACGGGGTACCCCTAAACCCTAAACCCCAAACCCTACACCCAAAACCCTAAACCCTAAACCCTAAACCCCCGTCCCCTCCGAAGCGTGGCTGCCTGGAGGCGCGCTGTTCGGAGATGTGGAGATCAGCCACTCGGGCCCCTTGGACTGCAAGGGATCTTCGAGGTTTAGGGTTTAGGGTTTAGGGTCTAGGGTCGAGGGTTTAGGGTTTAGGGTTTAGGGCTAGGGATCGAAGGAACTTCGTGGTTTAGGGTTTCGGGTTGTGGGTTGCGGGCTAAGCCAGGAAGGCCCTTAGGTTTCAGAGCCTCCCTAACGGGATTTCAGCGGAGCTTGTTTGGAATACTTATAGTCAGAGGGTATTTAAGTAAGGGCCAGCTCTAAACCCTAAACCCTAAGCCCTAAACACTAAACCCTAAACCCTAAACCCCAAACCCTAAACCCTAAACCCTAAACCCCAAACCCTAAACCCTAAACCCTATCACCCCAAAAGTCCGAGCTGCGCCGATGCCCAGGCCTGAAGACACTCGTCGACACTCGGATGCTATGGGGCCGAGTGGGTTCGAGCTGCCAGAAGGGTGTCAGACATCCCTAAACCCTAAATCCCAAGCCCTAAATCCTAAACCCTAAGCCCGAAATCCTAAACCCTAAATCCTATCCCTAAACCCTGCACCTCTCCCTACAACCCTAAAATCCTAAAGTCTAAACTCGAGAACTTGGATTTCGGGTGGAGTTGCAGGCAAACATCCTTCCCAATCAAGCAACCCCTTGAACCCTAGATCCTAAATCCCTAATTCCCTAAACTCTAAAACCCCAAACCCTAAATCCCTAAAGCGCCGGGAGGAGCTCGGGGTTTCGTGTTTAAGGTTTCGGGTTTCGGGTCTAGGGTTGGGGGTTTAGGGTTCAGGGTGCAGGGTTTATTTAGGGTTTAGGGTTCAATCGTGCATGAGCTCTCAGCCCCAAGAACCCCCCCCCCCCCCCCCCCCCCCCCCCAAAAAAAAAGGCCCTCAATGAGCCCTTAAGATTGCCCTCAAGCCAACCTCAACTCCCAAACCCGTAACACCTTTTTGACCCAAAAAACCCCTAAAACCCTATGAAAGCCCTAAAGCCCTACTATAAAGCCCTAAAACCCTAAAGCCCTAAAACCCCCCAAGCCCTAAACCCTGAACCCGAGCGTTTACAAGCCCTGGGCCGCTAAGCCCCTCGTTGCCGAGGACCTGGGGCGTAAGGAGCATTGGCTCATCGATGTAGATCACGTGGAGCTTCTAGGACGAACCGAGGGCGGGTTTCGAGTTTAGGGTTTAGCGTTTAGGGTTTTGGGGTTTCGTGTTTCGGGTTTAGGGTTTAGGGTTTATAGCTTTAGGGTCTAGTTTTTGGGTTTGGGGTTTTGGAATGGGATTTTCGGGTTGGGCTTAAGATCTTCGGGCTTCGGGGCGAACTCAAGTATCCTGGCGAAAGCTGATTGGGCTTCATCAGAGGATCTGATTTAGGAGGCCCCCGCCTAACCCTACAGCCTCAACCCCAAACCCTAAACCCTACAGAGCCGTAAACCCTAAACCCCAAACCCCAAACCCTAAACCCCATACCCTAAACCCTCAACTCTCAACCCGAAACCCGAAACCCGAAACCCTAAAAGCTCTAAACCCCAAGCCCCAAACCCCAAACCCTAAACCCTGGACCCTGAACCCTAAACCCTAAACCCTAAACCCCAACCTCGAGTCGAGGCTGCATGCCACGACCATCCTCGGCGCGGGCGGCTTCGGCATTGTCTGCGAGGCTGCGCACAGGGTCTAGGGTTAAGGGTTTAGGGTTTAGGGTTTAAGGTTTAGGGTTTAGGGTTTAGGGTTTAGGGTTTAGGGCCTCGTGGTTCAGGGTGGAGCGTGTAGCGCAGCGACAACTCCCGGAAGGCGACAGCCCGGAACCCCTCTGTGAGGTGTTACTCCAGGCCGGCTGTGAGGGGCGACTGCCCGGAATGGCTGCTGGTGCAGCGACAGCGCCTGGGACGCGACCCGGGCCCGGAACACTGGTGGACAATGAGGTACCCAACGCAACTGCTGCAGCGACAGTGGCAGCTCCTAGGAAATAGTGCCCCCAACTATGAAGCCGGGTCTGGACTTGCGCAAGCCTAGGAAAAGGGTGGCCCAACGAGGAAGCCGGGTCTGGGCTTGGACAGGCCCAAGAAAACACCGTCCAAGGCCCCACACCTCTGTCCGGAGGCCAACTGACCTTGCAGTGCCGGATGATTTTTTTAATTTGACGTCACATAGCTCATCGGGTTTAGGGTTTAGGGTTTAGGGTTTAGGGTTTGGGCTTTGTCTTAGGGTGTTGGGGGCTTGGATTTTTCGGGGTTAGGGTTTGGGGTAGGGGCTTGGCGTTTAAGGCTTCCACGGCAAATCCTGGGGCTTTAGGTTTTCGGCTTTTGAGGGGTTTCGTGGCATCGACAGGGGTTTCGGGGGGTAGGGAGGGGTTTAGCGGTTCAAGGGGTTTGGGGTTTTTGAGTAGATTTCGCCAACCTGCCAGTAGCTTTCCAGGCAACATGGTCCCAGGAAGCGGAAGCAACAGCAGCGGAACGCCTGAACCCCCAACTGCCACCCGCCAATGAATTCTTCGGGTTGGGTCTAGTATCTTCAAGGGCTTAGGGCTCAGGGTTTAGAACCCTACTGCACTGAGGCTCTGGGCCCCCCAAACACCCCCACAGCTCGCAGGGTACCCTCTGCGGCGCGACAGTTGCCATCAAGTTTCCCAGGCCGGCTTGGACCCCAACGCCTGGGTATAGGGTTATACGCTTCCTTAACCCTAAACCTTAAATCCTAAACCCGAAACCCTAAAACCCTAAACCCTAAACCCTAAACCCTAAACCCACCTTAAACCCTAAGCCAGGCTTCGGGTTGAGGGTTTTAGGGTTTGGGGTTTAGGGTTTCTTAGGATTCAGCCTCTAAGACAGGCCTGCCCCAGCTCTCACCCGGGTAGATCCTTGAGATGTTGTTAATATGATGGGGTTTCTCTAAGTTAGGGTCCCCATAAGGGTTAGGACCCAGCAAGGAACCCTAATTTAGAGAACTCCCATGTGCTTTCGCTAGTCGGGTTCGTCTGAGGCTGATCTGGACGAAATCTTGAGGTTCTATGGGGTCCGAATCCCTAGATCACCCGAACTAATTTCTCTGTGGCCCCCAAACCGACCCCAGTTGAGAGGGGAGACTATGCGACCCCTTAGAGGTATATGCAAGGCACAGAATACAGGTTAGGCTTAGGGCCTACCTGGCTGGCTCTTAGTCGGGAATGAGGGAATGAGGTACCCTATATAATCCCTTAACGCGTACATGTTGGCCCTAATTCCCTTATTCCCTACCAAGAACCAGGGTGTTCAGTAGGCAGATGAATAGCAAGGTTGCTAGAAGCACGCAAGTTCCAGGGCACTAATATGGGGCCCATACAACAAACTCGAGAAGGCATAGGTGGTGGTGCGGGCCCTAGACCCTAAACCCTGAACCGTAAACCCTAAACCCGAAACCCTAAGCCCTAAGCCCTAAACCCTAAACCCTGGACCCTAAACCCTAAATCCTAAACCCTGTAATGTAAATTCGTCGCCCCTGACGTTCATCCCGAAGGCTTTCTAAAGCTTAGGGCCCTGAACCCTGATGAAGCTAATAACCCTGCTTACCCTAAAGCCCTAAACCCTAAGAACCGCAGAAACCCTAGTAGCCCCAGTACCCCTAAACCCTAAGAACCCTACTAACCTCCAAAGCCAAGCATCCCCAAATTCCCGAATCCGAAGCACGTGGAAAATGCCGCAATCTTTACGTGCTGAATTATATTGACAAGAATAACAAGATTTGCGACATGATTTCTCATTGATATCAGTAAAGATTCCATACTACGCTTGTTTTCTTATCTTTACTTTGTAGGGTTTAGGGGGTATTCGGGCTTCGGGTTGGGGGCGTGTAACTTTGGGGCCTTAATAATTAGAATAGGCTTTTGGCGGGGGGCTATAGTATAATTGCAAAGCGACCACAGAATAGGGGAATGGGGGAATACGATTCGTAATTCTTGCGACCCCTATATGAGGAGTGATCTGGGGGGTTGCGAGGGCTGAGGTTTGCTTAGGGGGTGTTTAGGCCCTCTCGGGGGTCAGGTGTGCCTTTAGGGTTTCGGGTTCAGGGTTTTGCCCCCGGACCTAAACTCAATGCCCTAAGCTCCTGAAAAGCCTCAGGAAGAGCACCAAGAACTCCACATCGCAGACGCCGAACACGCGAGACCACGTCCTGATCATGTGCCTCCTCTCCATATCTCTGGAAGCTCAGGGTTTCCGCCCCAAAGTACCCTTCAATTGAAGATACCCTAAGAGCTCTGTTGAGGTACACTCAGTAGGCGGGGGGGGGGGGGGGGCTTGAGCTTGCAAGCTGTTGCCGGTGATTTTCTAGAACCTTCTCGAGAGGGTCGTCGTTCACGAGTTGGAATGTGGGGCCCCGGCGAAAAGCACAGACCTGAGACAGAAAAGACCTAAACATAAACCCTAAACCCTAAACCCTAAACCCTAATTAAACCCTAAACCCTAAACCCTAAACCGTCTGCGCCCCTTAAGGAACTACCTGACGGAGCTCCGTCTGCTCCGCTACGTCCGACATCCGAACATCGCGGCCCGGCGAAGCAATGTGTGGCCAGGGTTTAGGGTTTAGGGTTTAGGGTTTGGGGTTTGGGGTTTAGGGTTTGGGGTTTAGGGTTCAGGGTTTAGGGAGATTGGATTCTTTGGGTGGTTGGATTGACTTTCAGGGCAAGACATCGTCATAGAGGTCCTAACCCAAACCCTTTGCTTCCATTTTTGGGGTTCAAGGTTCCCTATGGAGTAAGCCCCAACAAGTGTGCCCTTGTTGTAATATGGTTCCTGGGCTACCAGAGGACCTTCCTTGTACTAGAGTCCTTTGGCAACTCCTGCTGTTTCTTGGTGGAGGTTTGCAATGCCCTGCGTTGCTTCATCACTCTTCATCCTGAATCTGCAAAGACGCCCTCGAAATCACATTAGGAAAGCTAACTAAACCCTAAACCCTAAACCCTAAACCCTAAACCCCAAACCCTAAACCCCAAACCCTAAACTCGAAACCTAAACCTTACACCTTACACCCTTTCCATGGCCGGGGGATCGCAGGGTCAAAGGCGAAGTACATCCGCTTTTAGGGACTTGGCGAGCCAGTAAGCAACCCCAAGCCGTAATAATTCTTACACCTTGGGATGTTCCCCCTTATATTATTACCCTAAACCCTAAACCCTAAACCCTAAACCCTAAACCCTAACATATGCTTCCCTGTGAAGCTCTCGGCTGGGAGCGATCGCCGCTCAGAGCCATAAGATCCCCTGCAAGAATCTGAGCAGCGGGTCTCAGGGTGTTACGACCTATACTATACGGGTTTAGGGTTTAGAGTTTAGGGTTTAGGGTTTAGGGTTTAGGGTGTAAGAGGTTGTAAATGATCACCCTTATCAACCTCTGAGCCCGAACTCCTCAGACTCGAGCCCACAACCTCGCATCACTCGAACCCCAAAACCCTTAAAAATTCTAAACCCTCAACCCTAAACCCTAAACCCTAAACCCTAAACCCTAAAAGATCCTAAACCCTAAAAACCTAAACCCTAAATTCCCTTAAGCCAGCCCCTCGGTTCGTGAGGTCGCCTTCTTCGGTGCGACCGTGGACGTGGACAACCTCGAGATGATCTTGATCTTCGAGAAGATGGAAGGGACAGCTTGAAACCTCTGAGGGTTTAGGGTTTAGGGTTTAGGGTTTAGGGTTTAGGGTTTAGGGTTTAGGGACAGCTTCAAACCTTTCATGGAGGTACCATGATCTAGGGTCCAGGGCCTAGGGGGTTTAGGCTGGGATGTTCCCCCTTATACTGGCAGTCCTTAATCGGGATTATCTAGTACCCCTAAACCCTAAACCCTAAGCCCTAAACCCCCCCCCCCCATTACATTCCAAATGAAGGACTGTTAGTAGAAGGGGGAACATCCCAAGGTTTAAGCAGGGACCTCCTGGAGTCCTTCAAGGGTGTAGGGTTTAGGGTTAGGGTTTAGGGTTTAGGGTTTAGGGTTTGGGGTTTAGGGTTTAGGGTTAGGGTTTAGGGTTTAGGGTTTAGGGTCTAGGGTTTAGGGTCTAGGGAGAAGGAACTGCAACTGAGAAGTTGGCACACCACACTTCCTTATTTCAAGGCCGGAACAACCCTAGAGCCCTAAACCGAACGCAATGGGCATCCCAAAGCCCCAAGCCCTAAGTCCCATCCCTAAACTTTGCCATAGTTGGGTGTTTAGGGTTTAGGGTTTAGGGTTTAGGGTTTAGGGTTTAGGGTTTAGGGTTTAGGGTTTAGGGGTACATTCTTAAGGGTACTTAAACCCAATAAGGAGTATGAATTTAAGTTTTTAATACTACCCCAACCATGGACTAGTAAGCCCCAAACCTCAAACCCTACAGCCTAAGCCCGAGACAGCGAGGCCACACCTCTTTTTGGCACCCCTCGGCTTGCTAGCCCAGATGTGGCGTAAAGATTTCTGTCCTACGGTTTTGGGTTTTGGGATGAGGGGCGTAGGATATTCAGTTTCGGGTTTAGAGTTTAGGGTTGAGGGTTTAGGCGTTGAATGATGGTGTAGACTTTATTGCTATGAAGATTTTTGTTTAGGGTTTGGGGGGGTTGTGTTCAGGTTTAGACCATCTAAGCCTAAACCCTAGGGTTTCTAAGCCTTGGCACTCTAACCTGCTCAAAACCCTACACCCCCTACACGAAATTCAACACCTGGCCCTGACTAAGCAGAAACAGGTCCAAAGAACCCTTGATTGATCCTGGTTTTCTGTTCAACCCTAAACCCTAAACCCTTAACCCTGAATGGAAGCCAGGAGCACCCTGAGCAAGTTCATCGACGAGAGCCCGGCGGAGGTGAAGCGACTGCACGTTCTGGTGGACGTTGCGAAGGCTGGGATAGGAAGAAGGGTTTAGGGCTTAAGGTTTAGGGGTTTAGGGTTTAGGGTTTCGGGTTTAGGGTTTAGGGTTTAGGGTTTAGGGCGCATACAGACCCGCAAGCCCACGGTGGGTTCACCGCGAGAGTCTTTTTTGGAGTCCCACGGGCCCTAATCCCTGTATGGCCCAACATGTCCCGCAGACAAGTTGCTTCCGAGGGTCCCCACACCCGCGCCTGTGAGCCCAACCCCCTCCGCTGTATTTTGCCCCTGTATGTGGGGGGACAGGGTTTGGGGTTTAGGGGCTTCGGGTTTCTGGGATATGTAGACATTTGACGCAAGGAGACGGAATTATATAAAGTACGGAATGTCCTCATTCCCTACTAAGAGAACCAGCAGGCATGTAGTCCAAAACCAGAGCACAACGACGATCCTCGGAGGTCTCCCAAGCCGTCTTTGGAAAGTCCGGAGCAAAGCGTGGCAAGCGCATTGAAGACCCAACACTTCAGGGTCTTCCCGCCTCAAGGGTGCAGTAGCTGCCAAACCTTGAACCCTTTAGGGGTTGGGTTCGGGCTTAGGGTTGAAGGTGTTAGGGCCTCCTGTGCCCTGTGCGCCATGCAAGCCCTAGAAGCCTGGTGAAACTATGAGCCCTGCTCCCTGAACCTTACATGAGGGTTTACGATATTGGGGGTACCTCACTGGGGTCCTTGTTGAAAGGGGGATCCTACTTCTTGGGGTCTATATCAAAATTAGGGATCCCTTATGATCGTAAACCCCCAAATTCCCTCACCCCTCACCCTAAACCGTAAACCCTAAACCCTAAACCCTAAACCCTCAGGCGCTGGTGTACCTCCATGGGCTCCTGCCGGCGGTGGTCCACGGGGACCTGAAGGGCGAGAACATCTTCGTGGCCGCTCGTGGGCATGGCAGGGTGCTGACATTTTGGTGGGTTTAGGGTTTAGGGTTTAGGGTTTCGGGTTAGGGGTTAAGGGTTTAAGGTGCATAAACAACATTTATATATATATATATAGATACATTTATCTGTAAGGGCCAGTAAAGGGTTCAGGCTTCTAGAGTCTGGGTTTCGAATGGGGCTGGGGGTTTTCAGGGCTTCGGGTTCTAAGGGCTTCAAGTTTTGGATTTGAGTGCAACACACACACACACACACAAACACCAACCCCAAACCCTAAACCCTGCAAGAAAGCCTCATCTCCCCAAGATTAAGTATGCTGCTCCCTCAGCCCCCACCCCCACCCCCCCCTCCCATGTCTTCAGCCCCATAAGGTCTCAAGAATGGGCCCTTCTTGGGATTGTTGGGCGTCCCTTCATACGCAACAACAAAATGGCCAGAAGGAACCCTTAGAACGACTCTCCCGCCCGTGAGCTCATCCCAATAGGCCCGACATGGCCTACCTAGAGTAAGCACCCATAAGCCCCGAAAAATCTTCCATCCTTAGCCCGACAAGCCCTGAAACCCTAAACCCTAAACCCTGTATGTCCTAAAAGCCCTAAGCCCTGAAAGCCCTAAACCCTAAACCCTGCACGCCCCAAACGCCCCTGGATCCTGTCAACCCCGACGAGGACACCACGCGCGAGCGGATCGTGGCGAAGCTCGGGGACTTCGGCCTCGCGCGGAGGGCAACCTCCTTCGTGGCTCGGGGAAACGTAAACTTCAACTTCTCTATACACATACATATGTACACAAATGAAAGTAGTATGTATGTATACGTACTTGTTATGAATATAAATACATAAATAATTATATATATATACACATATGCATGCATTCTGTTGAGTTTGAAAAGGATCGATGTTTAGACAGAGGGTTCCAAGGGCCCACCTAGACAAGGTTGTCGGGCTTATAGTGTTTAGGGCTGCAGGGTACAAGTTTTGGGCTTATTGATGTTTAGGGTTTTGAGGGCTTAGGGTTCAGGGTAGGTGCTTCCGGCGTTATTTGTATGTTTTTTTTTTTTTTTTGGGGGGGGGGGGGGGGGTGGCGGTGAGGGTTTATGAAACCCTGTAATCCTTGTTTGTCCTTAGGATTAGCCCGCTCAGTTCTCCTAGCATGCCCTCTGCTACCATGGGAGGCTTTCCAATGTAGCTTCTGTGATCTAACTGAGGTTTAGGGTGACGGACAGGTTGTAGCAGGTGTTGTAGCCATGGTCATCGCAGCAGAGGTGGTCGTTGTAGGTGTGGAGTATTGTACTGACTGTGGATAGTAGCGGTGGTGCCCGCGACATGGTAGTGATACTTGGAGGTAAGCCCTGACCCCAAGCCCCTCCACACCCCAGAGCCCCAAGCCCCTCAACACCCTACAGCCCGTAATCCCCCCAAACCCCACCGACCCCTGAACCCCCTAAACCCCAAACCCCACAGACCCTTGCAGACCCTGCCAACAAGCCGAAACCTCCTAAGAACTCCTAAAGCTTCGGGACTTGCAGTGGAACCCTAAACCCCTTCATTCCCCTTTAAGACCCCTGAAGCTCCGAAAGCCCCCTAAACCCGAAACTACCCTAAGTCCAAACCACCCTAGGCCCCTAAACCCGAAACCCTAAACCCGAAACCCTAAACCCTAAACCCCATACCCTAAACCCTAAACCCCTAAAACCCTAAACGAATGCTGCAAGTGCGCTTTTCTCATTCGAGGCTCGTGGAATGGGTGGCACAGTGCGCTGGTCTGCCCCAGAGGTGCTTCAAGGCCGGCTTAGGGTTTCGGGTTTAGGGTTTAGGGTTTAGGGTTTAGGGTTGAGGGTTGAGGGTTGAGGGTTTAGGGTTTAGGGTTTAGGGTTTAGGGTTTAGCGACGAAGGGCTTGGGTTTTTGGCTGTTTAGGGTTTAGGGCAGGCTTTGAGTTCGCGCTTGTCTGCTGCATTGCTCATGAATGGCATAGTTTGCGTGTGTATAGTATATGCAATATACGGATATACACATACGCACTAAAGACTATTCACTACAACCACCCACTAAACAAGGAAAACGCCGCCCTCGACATTTAAGCCTTAACCCCAAACCCTAAACCCGAAAACCCTAAACCCTAAACCCTAAACCGTTCAACCCCCTAAGTCGACATTCCTAGAATTTGCTTGGGGAGGGCAGCTGCCCCCATCCACCGCGGCAGATGCGTACAGCAACCTGGCGCAGATTGGGTTTCGTGTTGAGGGTTTAGGGTTTAGGTTTGGGGTTTAGGGTTTGGGGTTTAGGGTTTGGGATTTAGGGTTTGGGGTTTAGGGTTTGGGGTTTGGGGTTCAGGCTGTAGGTTGAGTGTAGTGTGGCTCCTGATGGATAAGTGGGGGCGGTAGAAGTCGGGCATTTGTTGTTGTAGTCGGTTGTATCCCTATGCTTTATGGGAGGGTTTAGGGTTTGGGGTTTAGGGTTTAGGGTTTAGGGTTTAGGGTTTAGGGTTTAGGGTTTAGGGTTTAGGGTTTAGGGTACACAACCCCACTAAGAAGCACCCATCACCACAACAAGTCCGGCAAAGGAGCACAAGGGGGTCCTGGCGTCTTGGCCCCCGCACGAAATGTGTCAATGCCTTTTGGAGTTCAAGCTTGATCCAGGCACACTTACACCCCACACCCTGATTAAAGCCGACCCGAAACCCTAAACCCGAAACCCGAAACCCTAAACCCGAAACCCGAAACCCTGAACCCTGAACCCTAAACCCTAAACCCTGAACCCTGAACCCTGAACCCTGAACCCTGAACCCTACACCCTAAACCCTAAACCCTGAACCCCAAATCCTAGGGAGGCGGGACCATGGAAGAACTGTGTGAAGCAAAGCCCAGGTTTCGGCCAGCTCGCCTACTTTGTCGCGGCCGGACAGACAAGTGGAGCTTGTTCTACGAACTAGGGATTTGGGGTCTAGGGTTTAGGGTTTAGGGTTTAGGGTTTAGGGTTTAGGGTTTAGGGTTTAGGAGGAATCAATTCTGAAGTTCTTTGGGCCCTACTCCCTCTACAGCCCAACATAGCCCATGGACATTTGCGCATTTTTTGGACAACTCTTTCAAGGACTTTCACTAGGTTCGGAATCTAGAGATCTGGGATTTAAGGTTTTTCTGAGGGCGCTACAAGCATGACTACCCTAACCCTAAACCGTAAACCCTAAATCCTAAACCCTAAACCCTAAACCCTAAACCCTAAACCCTAAACTATCAGGGGATCCGACTTTAGAACAGCTCCCCTAAATCTGGACAGCTGGTGGTTGGCTTTTTCCAGCTGCACACTGGGGACCTGAGCATGACTATATCCCCCTTGGGAATTATTTTGTATTTTATTGTTTGTATAAAACCCAAGAGGATATTGAACATATTATTTTTTATTAAGGTTCTAAACCCCAAATCCCTCAAACCTAAACCCTAAAAACCTTAAGCCCTAAAGACCCTAAACCCATGCTGTGCGCGTTGCTAGCTCGTTTAAACTCTCTAGGGCTTCGGTTTTGACATTTCGGGTGTAGGGGCTGCCGAAACCCCAGGTCTCGGGCCTCATCCCCCTGATCGAGCTGAAGCGTCATGAGATCGCCAGTGCGCTCGCCAAGGGGCCCCTTGGCTGCCAACGTTGCGGTTTTCCGGTTATGAGAGGGTGTGCTACTTCCATAGAAGTGGCGTTATATGTACGCGTCATGGGTTATAGCCAGGTATGACTGTAGCTACCCTACATGTATCCCTACTGAAAGCACCCGTGAACCGCCAAGTCCGGTTTAACCAGGGTTGTTCGAGGCTGTCTGCTGGCTGCTGGTGCTTGGGATCAAGGGGAGGGTAAGGTGTTCTGGACTGGTGGTGCGGAGGCGGTCACAAAGCTTCGCAAATTGCCCTCAGAGTTTTTGGGGCAACCCTCAACCCTAAATCCTAAACCCTAAATCCTAAACCCTAAACCCTAAACTGGCCTCTCAGTTTCCTCAAGTCCGGTCCATGCAAGTGTGCAGACTGCTCAAGTTGACTCGTCTACCCCCCAATCCCCCGACACCACCACCTCCGCCTCGGTGGAACTTTTCCTGGCGCAGTGGCAAGTCTGAGGAAGGCTAAACCCTAAACCCCTAACCCTAAACCCTGAACCTTGAACCCTAAACCCTAAAGCTTAAACCCTAAACCCATCCTAGACCCTCAACCCGCAGCCCCAGTGTTGCCCCAACACAGATGTCGCGGAATCTTACGAAGTCCTGAGAAGTCGGCCTCCAAGTCTCCCAGTACCCAGTTTTAGGCTTTGGTTTTGGGGTTCAGACTGTGTTTTGGAGATAGGGACTCAGGATAAAGTTTTGGAGGTAGGGAATCAGGATTAAGGTCAGCAAATTTTACGTACCTAAAAAACCCTGCAAACCCGAAAGCCCTGCAACTTTCTTCGGGGGTTGCAACCCCCTTCTAACCCTAAGGCCAAACCTGTTGAGCTCCAAAGGGGGATATAGCTGCGGAGACTTTCAAAGTTGCTTAGACGTGCTTGGTACTTCTAAGTGGCGTTGTAAGTGCCCTAAGTTAAAGTTATTGTTATAGTCAGTTATCAAGAACAACCCTACGTATAGAGCAGGGTTTAGGCCGTGGTATTTCGGATGAAATCATCCCTAAACCCTAAACCCTAAACCCTAAACCCTAAACCCTAAACCCTAAACCCTAAACCCTAAACCCTAAACCCGATCGACCCGAAACATCGAATCCTATAGACCCTCTAAACCATAAAATCCTGCCATAAACCTGGCAAGCCCTACGTAAACCCTAGAGCCCAACGCCGCTTCGCAAGGTACGTCCCGAACGAGAAGTGGCCCACCAACTATTTTTCAAACAGGACGGAGGGCGGTGTTGAGAGTTTAGGGGTTCGGAGGTTGAAGGATTTCAGGGCTCCAAAAAAAACCACGGGCGTTTAGTAGGAACTTGATGCATCACTGTACAATTTTCCCTTTCCCGAGTTTCCTATTCAGAACGCGTAACCCTGAACCCTGAACCCTGAACCCTGAACTGGTGTAGTTAAGGCTCTGGTGCTACCGTCTCTAAAAAAAACAACAGCACAGTCCCGTGGTACGTTCACGCCCTGAACCCGAAAAACTTGGTCAGTGCTCAAAATTCGGGGCTTCCTGTTCGGGGTCCTCTACTGACTTGGAGAGACGATCTTAGGGCTTAAGGAACCTAAACCCTACACCCTAAACCCTAAACCCTAAACCCTAAACCCTAAACCCTAAACCTCAAGCCCGGGACCCCAAAACCCAAAACGTCAACCCGGACCCCAAAACTTATGAGACCTAACCCGTAGCCGTGCCCAGGATTCGCGAGATCTCCGAGGCCTGTCGAAAGCCAGACCCCTCAGCTTGTACCTCAGAGCCCAGAGTCGGTTTAGGGCTTGGGGCTTGAAGTTTAGAGTTTAGGGATGAGGGTTTTTTTTTGCGGCTGATTGGGACGGAAGGGTCCGGGGGGGGGGAGGGAGCGGGTGGGGGGGGGGAGAGGGAGGCAGGGGGTTGTTTGGTTTCACAAGTGAATGGGGGGCCTCTAGTGTTTCGGGGCCTTAACCGGCCTTGGCGAGATGCCTTTTTGGGGGCTTTGTGGCTTCCATAAGGCAGGGCCTGGGAACTGCGAAGGGGGTTCAGGCTTCTGTCGATCCTGCGGACGCTCAGGCCCGTCTCTCCATGAAGGAGGCGTGGCACCAGCTTGGGCAAGTTGAGGCGGGGCAGTGACACACCGCAAGGGTCTAGGGAGTTGAGAGAGCTTAGGGTTCAACCTGGAACATAGCAGAGGTTTTTCGGGTTCAGGTGAATGGCCCTGAGCTTTTTCCCTACTTGACAGGACCCCGCAAAGCCCAAGGGAAAGATCCGCAGCTGGCTGGGCGGCAAAAACACCCGAGGCCTGTCGGTTGCGGGTTAAACCCTAAACCCTAAACCCTAGACCCTAAACCCCTGGTTTAGAGTTTAAGGAGTCGTTAAGGAGTGCTTCTAGAAGCCTCCTCATTGAGTGACGGTTCTTGGGGGGCCCTGGTCGAGTTTGGGCTAAACCCTAAACCCTAAACCCTAAACCCTAAACCCTAAACCCTAAACCCTAAACCCTAAACCCTAAACCCTAAACCCTAAACCCTTCCAAAAGCCCCGTCATCCCCTGCTCTGAATCCGAAATCCTGCTCGTTCTTAGTTGAAAGTTCGGCCGCTTTTCTCCCTCCCGTAATGCCCTGCAAGGGATTACAGGTTCAGTCTCAAAACATAGTGAGCCCATGAGGGACCAAGCTGAACGTAAAACAATGCATCAATGAATAGATACGTAATGATATACATATATATATATATGTGTGTGTATATATATATATATATCAAACCCTACAAACCTTAAGCAAATGCAAGAAAACATCAGAACCCGAAGCCCTAAACCCAAATACACATCTCCTACCCTGCATCCCATCCTAGCCCTCAACCCTAAACCCTAAACCCTAAACCCTAAACCCTAAACCCTAAACCCACGCGATGTGAGCCAGTAAGGTGAGGAGATGGTCCATCCTTTCGGCATCGTGCCGATGCCAGACCTGCCTCCAGCGCCGGCAGGGGAGCCTCCGCGGCTTGGCGCGCAAAAAGGAGTTTGGGGTTTGGGGTTTAGGGTTTGGGGTTTAGGGTTTGGGGTTTGGGGTTTAGGGTTTAGGGTTTGGGGTTTAGGGTTTGGGGTTTAGGGTTTAGGGTTTAGGGTTTGGGGTTTAGGGTCTAGGGTTTAGGGTTTGGGGTTTAGGGTTTGGGGTTTAGGGTTTAGGGATTAGGGTTTGGGGTTTGGGTTTTGGGGTTTAGGTTTGGGTTTGGGGTTTGGGGTTGGGGTTTGGGTTCAGGGTTTAGGGTTTGGGGGGGTTTGGGGTTTAGGGTTTGGGGTTTGGGGTTTGGGGTTTAGGGTTTGGGGTTTGGGGTTTAGGGTTTGGGGTTTAGGGTTTAGGGTTTAGGGTTTGGGGTTTAGGGTTTAGGGTTTGGGGTTTAGGGTTTGGGGTTTAGGGTTTGGGGTATGGGGTTTAGGGTTTAGGGTTTGGGGTTTAGGGTTTGGGGTAGCCGCTGCAAGGCCATCATGCACACAGCATGATCTCAACACGGAACTCGAGTACATCCCTGTCTTATAAAAAGGAGCCCTAAACCCTAAACCCTAAACCCTAAACCCTAAACCCTAAACCTTGGCTGTAAGCGGGAACGCAGGATGACAGCGATTGCCTTTTGAATTGGTCGAACTCCGTGGGAGATTGCACCCTATAACTTTTGAACAAGGCCCTTGATAGGGTTTAGGGTTTAGGGTTTAGGGTCTAGGGTTTAGGGTTTAGGGTTTAGGGTTTAGGGTTTAGGGGATTATAAGGCCTCATAGCCCATCCTGGTACATGTGTCTTTATGGGTTGAGGCGGCGTTGTTTTTGCTTAACGAGGCTTTCGGGTCTACGGATCCCCATAAAACCTTAAGCCCGGAACCCAGGCAGTTGCACACGGGCCCGAACCCTAAACCCTAAACCCTAAAGCCTAAACCCTAAACCCTAAACCCTAAACCCTAAACCCTAAACCCTAAACCCTAAACCCTAAGCCCTAAACCCTAAACCCTAAACCCTAAACCGGAGCGGGATCCAGGCGGCCCAGCGGCGATGGCGCGGGACAGCTGGAGGACGGGTCTTTTCTGAGGTCAATGGGGTGCTACACACCCTAAACCCTAAACCCTAAACCCTAAACCCTAAACCCTAAACCCTAAACCCTAAACCCTAAACCCTAAACCGGTTCGTGGGGTTTAGGGTTTCAGGGTTCGGGTCGAGGGTTTCGGGTTTAAGGTTTGTGGCGTTTAGGGCTTATGGTTGGGGGTTTGGGGTTTTGGGTTTGAGTAGGGATAAGGGCCCGTCATCCCTAGTCACCCCAATATCTTCCATAGAAAGTTACCGTTTAGAGGGCCCGAGGGTCCCACCTAAGTCCACAGTTTTTTTACCAGATATCTGCGGTGAAGTTGCTTGGGACGCGACGTGGACATGGATTGGGGGGTTTAGTCAAGGCCCTGGGAATCTCGCAGCCCTGAGTTCTAAACATCCCTAATCCCTAATCTTTCCGAAGCGTAGGGTTTAGGGCTAGGGTTCCACCACTATCCGCCAACCTAAGCAGAGGCCCAGCTTGCCCACGCGCGGCGGCACGTGCTTGGCCGACACGCATGCTGACGCTTGTGCATTGTGAGCGCTTGGTTCTAGCCTGAACCTCCAAGTAGGGACTCTGCTGAAATGCAAGGTTTAGTAGGTGGGACTGTGGGAGAGCTTCCTTTTTCCCCCTAATTACTGGGCTTAAGAGCATTTGCTTTAGGGTTTAGGGTTTAGGGTTTAGGGTTCAGGGTTCAGGGTTCAGGGTTCAGGGTTCAGGGTTCAGGGTTCAGGGTACCTATTTGCAGGGGGGGGGGGGGGGGGGGGGAGCGTGTGCTATGTTTGGGGTGTATCAGGGGTACCCTTCTTTCTAGGAACTCGGGTTTGGGGCATCTGGGGAATGGGTCTCCACAGTTCGAAGAGCCAAGCGTGCGACGTCTTGGGGACCAGGGAAATACACTTTAAGAGCATGTCTCGACCATCAAGGCACTGGAGGAGGGACCCTAAAAAGGGACCTGAGGGGTTCTTGAGAGGTTTTCTTAGGGGTTACTTACCCTAAGCCCTAAACGCTAAACCCTAAACCCTAAACCCTTAGGTATATACTTAGGGACTATATGAGGTATATATATATATATAGGGGCTATGTAGGAGGAATAAGATTCAGGGTCCCTTCTAGGGGTCCCTCCTTCGTACCCCTTAAGACAAGACGGCTTCCGCTTGGGGGCGCTCCTGGCTCCTTGTGGGGCTTTAGGGTTTAGGGTTTAGGGTTTAGGGTTTAGGGATCTGTGATAGCAGGGCCAAGCCACTGCGGCTCCTGACTCCCTCTTGCAGCCCCCCCCCCCCCCCCGTAGGTAGTTGAGTTCCCGACTGGCCATCATGTAGAGACACTGACCATACTTTAGGGTTTAGGGTTTAGGGTTTAGGGTTTAGGATTTCTGCCCTTCTTGGGCTGGAGAGGATTCTGTTTTAGAAGATGTTCGGAAGATCCGGGCATGTCGAAAGGTTGCTTGTGGCGGCACGTGGCGCCAACATCAGAACCTCCTGAACCCCTAACCCCTAACCCTAAACCCTAAACCCTAAATCCCTAACCTTGATCCTCATCCTAGACCCTCCTGCCACCCTAACCCCCAAACCGAAGCCTCAACTCTCTAAGTATGCTCCCTTTGGGGGACCCTAAACCCCTAACCTCTAAACCCTCAACCCCCAAACCCCTAAACCCCAAACCCTAAACCCTAACCCCTAAACCCCTAAACCCTAAACCCATATTACGTGGAGACAGCAAGGCCAGGCTCGAAGCGGAACCCGATATCGAAGCCAGCCAATGGGCAGGGCTTCTCGGATTTATGGCGGAGTTTCCGAAGATAGTGGGTTCAGGGTTTAGGGTTTGGGGTTAGGGTTTAGGGTTTAGGAATCAGAGTTTAGGGTTTAGGGTTTAAGGGCGTAGGGGTACCCTCTTTGTTAGGGTTTAGGGTAGACGGATGATGGGGATTATGACACCTTGGGGGGGGGGGGGGGGGCGTATTCAGGAGTAACCCTATTTGGGAAAATTCCGTGTTAACGCCCGCGCAAGAAGCATCAGCAAAGCCCACAAGGCAGTATCGGCTTGTGGTGGAGCCGCCAGCACAGGGTTTAGGGTTTAGGGTTTAGGGTTTAGGGTTTAGGGTTTAGGGTTTTGAGTTCTCTGCCGCGCGAAGAAGCACTCCCATGACAGTAGCTGCATGCGCCAAGCAAGCCACAGGAACCGGGGGTCTGGGGCTTTCTGGGGTTGTGATCTGATGAAACTTTACTAAATGAGTTCTACCGGCTCCCAATCCCTACATACTCACGCACAGGATCTAAGTTTGTTAGGGCAAGCCTACCCTGGCTTAGGAGACCTTCAGCTATGTAGCGTCGTGATGATGAATCCGTAGGTAAATATACTATGCGATTTCTTTTTTAGTTTCTGGTTTTTCTGTACATTTGGTACATATATATATATATGTATGAATTAAGTGAATGCAAGGGGTATTCCCTAAACTCAGGCAAGAATGTGCCAGGAGGGTTCTGCAGAGAAGCTCTGGAAAACTAAGAGACCTTCAACATACCCAAGTTGCGCTGAAAATCCGCGTTGTGGGCGGCTGTCTCCGAAACCCTCGAACCCTAAGCCCTCAAGCCCAAAACCCCAAAACCTTCAAACCCTAAACACTAAGCCTCTTCCAGACCCATCGTGCACCCTAACCCTAAACCCTAAACCCTAAACCCTAAACCCTAAACCCTAAACCCTAGTGGCTCTAGCAAGGCACCGAAGCTCGATGTGCCCAAGGGAGTATTTCTACAGAGCTCGTAAAGCCCTAAACCCTAAACCCTAAACCCTAAACCCTAAACCCTAAACCCTAAACCCTAAACCCTAAACCCTAAACCCTAAACCCTAAACCCTGCGGTTGATGTTAGGTTTAGAATGTAGTGCTGAGGCCCTTGGGATGATTTGGGTATTTCCCAATACGGTTGAAGAGAATCATGTTTAGGAAGATGTTCGGGGGGGTTCCAGGGCCAGCCAGGCAAAGCTCTATGGGCCCTAATCCCCACCTAACCCGAGATACCACTTAGTAAGAACCCTTAAACCTTAAAACCCTAAACCCCTCAAAACCCGAATCCCGAAGCTGCAAACCCTAAACCCTAAAGGTCCCCAGTCCAGACCAGTCTCTGGAGCTTACATTCTGTAGGTACCTTACATAACCTTGGATAAGGCTTGAATAGGGAGCCTACACCAAAAAAGACCAAACAAGGTAGGTTCTGGAAGTAAAACAATAAGGTAAGCCCTGAGAACCCACCAAAAAGGCCCCATGAGCCCTCCCATAGCCGCACACGCAAGGTTTAGGGTTTGGGGGGTTTCTGGTTTCCAGGCATGGGGCTAGGGTAAAAGGGGAATCCGATTCTGGCTGGCTTTGTCCATCCCAGTGTCCCCCAGTTTCCTGTGCTGTCCTCATCATATGCCACTTTTCCAGATGATGATCCCCTTTTTGGGCCCCTAAACCCTAAACCCTAAACCCTGAACCCTAAACCCTAAACCCTAAACCCTGAACTGTAAAGAAAACGCTTATTGGGAACCCAAACCCCAAATTGTCCCTTTTCGGGCATCCTAAGCCCCCAAACCCTAAATCCTAAACCCTTTTTTGGGAACCTCAACCCTGTGCTGTCCGTTTTGGGGGTATCCTGAGCCCCTAAACCCTAAACCCTAAACCCTAAACCCTAAACCCTAAACCCTAAACCCTAAACCCTACATGCAGTTAGGGTCCAGCCCTTCCTTTGCTCAGTGCGGAGGCTCCCGGGTTCCTCATCCGGAGCCTTGCATCCAGAAAAGCTTCCTGTGGAGGTTGTTCTGAAGGATGGGCCCCTTAGGGGAGGTTTAGGGTTTAGGGTTTAGGGTTTAGGGTTTAGGGTTTAGGGTTTAGGGTTTAGGGTTTAGGGTTTAGGGTTTAGGGTTTAGGGTTTAGGGTTTGGGGAACTCTAAACGCTACCTTCAGGCTTGGTGTCAAAAAGGGCCCATCCTTCAGCACAGCCATGTGGGGCATTTCCCAAACTAGGGGTACCCCTCATCTACCGCCAAACAAGTCCAATCCCTAAAGCCTAAACCCTCAGCAAACCCTAGTTATCGGAAACCCCGGAGAAGGGTACCCCGAATTTGGGAAACCCCCATGTACCCTACCAAGAAACAGCAGGTCCGCTCGCTGAGCTCAGCCCCCTGATTCCGCAATCCTAAATCATGCCCTTGGCCCTCCGTGGCTTAGGGTTTAGGGTTTAGGGTTTAGGGTTCAGGGTTCAGGGTTCAGGGTTTAGGGTTTCCTTGAAAGTTCTTGGGGGGGGGGGGGGGGCCCAGCGAACGGACTGCTTGGATGACACATGACGACACCTCGGGCCTTCAGGTCAAACTGCCATCCTCAACTCGGATGGGGTTCAGGGTTCAGGGTTCAGGGTTCAGGGTTTAGGGTTCAGGGTTCAGGGTTTAGGGTTTAGGGTTTAGGGTTTAGGGTTTAGGGCCTAGGGTTTTAGGGTGAAGGGTTATGGGTTATAAAGGCCGGTGGTCTCTTTATCTGTTGCCCTTGTACCTTAAAATAGCCCCTAGAAGCCCTAATATTACCCCCCCCCCTCCCTACAAAACAAACCCTACTTAAAGAGA